TCAACTTGATCCTGGAATTATGTACAGCTGCGTGGTCGTAGTGGCAGACAGGGAGATCCTGGAAGTTCCCGATTCTTTCTAAGTCTTGAAGATAACATCTTCCGGATATTTGGTGGAGATCGAATTCAGGTTCCCTTTGATGTCAAGCAAATATTCCTGTTAGCGAGGTATAAATTGCACAGGTGTTAATTTTATTGTGACCTGTAGGGTTTGATGAGAGCTTTTAGAGTTGAAGATTTACCTATTGAATCCAAGATGCTGTCGAAAGCACTTGATGAAGCTCAAAGAAAAGTGGAGAACTATTTTTTTGACATTAGAAAGAAACTGTTTGAATTTGATGAGGTTTTGAACAGCCAAAGAGATCGAGTATACAATGAGAGGAGACGAGCCTTAGAATCTGAAGATCTACAATCTCTCCTAATTGAATATGCTGAATTAACAATGGATGATATACTTGAGGTACATAATCTGTTCAAATCTGTGACAAATCGTACTATGTTGTTTCCCAACTGTAATGTTACATTTCTCTTCTTACTTTTGTGTAGGCAAATATTGGTTCTGATGCTCCTAGAGAAAGCTGGGAATTTGAGAGGCTTATAGCAAAACTGAAGCAGTAAGTTGAATTTTATTCCTATTATTGATAAAATCAAGTGAACACAAAGCGTTCAAATTGTAGATAACCATATTGCTCCAGGACTGCATTTCCCTTTATTCATTCATGCAAACAAGAAGTTGTACATGTGCCGGTGTCATGTACTTCATGTTAATGTAAATATGGTATAGATTAGATTGTATCAATTAGGTTATTTGGTAAATCCCGTAGATTAGGTCATTTGATTTCTTTCCTTTCTTTCATCTTTTTTGGCTTGTATATATCATTGTAATCTTCCTAGTGAAATATCAATTCAAGCTTGTAGTATTACTGGCATCAGAGCCAAACCAAAATAAAGTTACGGTTTTTTTGAATTTTTTATCAAACTTCTTTGGTGTTTAGAGTAGAAACACTTCGGGCGAGTTTCGGGTCTCACCTCCTCTACCTTCGGACTCGTCGTCGCCGGAGCAGCCATCCGATGAAGAATCGCCGTCAGAATCCGCGCGTGTGAGGTACACGCGCCACCACAGCCACCTACAGCCTGTCTCACGCGCCGACACGTGAGGGCGCGTGTCTGGCCGGAATTTCTTAGGCTACCTATTGGTGTTCTCAGTTTTTGGGTTTCAGTGACCCCTTGGTGTGCAGGTTGATTTTTTCTTAATTTTAGCCCTTTTGTTAATTCGGTTCACTCAGGCACAATCCTGTTCTTATGGCTGCAAATAAAATTGTGTCTGAAATCATCCCTATTATGAATAAAATCACGGATGCTAAATTGAAGGGGTCTAATTTCCTTGGCTGGAGTAAAACTATTATTGTCCACCTCCGTAGTATTGACAAGGACGATCACTTGGATTCGGATCCTCCCATGATGTGATACTCATCGCGCGTGGTTACGTGATGATGCAAAATTGCTCGTTCAAATTCGAAACTCCATTGAGCCTGATATACTTTCTTTGGTCAATCATTGCGAATTTGTCAAAGAATTGATGGATTATCTAACATTCTTATACTCTATACGTACCTCTCATATTTATTCAGTTTGCAAATCGTTTCATAGAGGAGAGCAACACGATAAAAACGCTACGGCATATGTCTGGAGTTTAACAAAGTTTATGAGGAACTAAACTCTCTCCTTCCGTTAAGCAACGACGTCAAAGCAATGCAGAAACAACGGGAACAAATTGTTGTTATGACCTTCCTGATTGGGTTACGTCCAAAATTTGATGCTTTCAAGAATAAATTTCTGTTCGAATCGGCCATTCCTTCTCTCCAAGAGACATTTTCCCGATTCCTTCTTACTGAGGAAATGCAGTCTCCAACTATCGACACTCATGTCTCTTAACATAGTGCCATGGTCAGTCGTGGAGGCTTCCAAGGTGTTTCTCGTGGCGGATCTCGACGAGGACGAGGGGGTTCTCGGGGTGGTACTCGGGGAGGTTCGACAAATCGTGACTCTCGCAATCCTAAATCTGACTTAATGTTAGCTATTGTCATGAACTTGGGCATACTAAGTATTCATGTCCTCAGTTGGAGAAGAAGAATCGGCCCTCTGCTCATGTTGCCTCATCTTCTGACATGGTCACTATCTCTGCTAGGAGTATTCTCGACTTACTGCAACAGAAAAGCCTTCTTCATCTGCTGCTGTCTTTGCTGACAGGTAATTCCGCTACATGCCTCATATCTAAAGGCACCAGATGGGTCATTGATTCAGGTGCATCAGATCATAGATCATATGACAGGTAACCCAAATCTTTTTTCCACCCTTGACCCTCATACACCTTCTCATGTCACTATCGTCGATGGGTTTACGACTCGTGTCCTTGGTTCTGGTTCAGTTAGTCTTACTCTTTCTATCTCATTACAATCTGTCCTAAATTTACCGAACTTTGCTTTTAACCTACTCTCTGTTAGCAAACTTACTAAGTCATTGGATTGTAGTGTCTCATTCTTTCCGAACCATTTTATTGTGCAAGATCTTTCAACGAAGCAGATCTTGGTGAAGGACGTGAATCTGATGGCCTCTCGTTTTCGAAACACCGACATCTAAGTCACTTGTTTGCACCCCCTCCTCCTCCGCACTAGATATGCATTGTCGTCTTGGCCATCCTTCTCTCCACAATTTAAAAAAATTGGATCCTCAGTTTTCAAGATTGCCGCCCTTAATTTGGGAGTCTTGTCAGTTTGCTAAACATTGCCGTAGTTCTTTATTACCTAGAATAAACACGAGGGCTGCGACCCCATTTAGGTTGGTTCATTCTGATGTTTTGGGCCCTTGTTTTGTTTTGTCAAAATCTGGTTTTAGATATTTTATTACTTTTATTGATAATTTTTCTTGTGTCACTTGATATACTTTATGAAAAGTCGTTATGAAGTTTTCCAACATTTTTTGTCCTTCAGTGCTAAAATTAAAACTCCGTTTCATGCTACCATTCAAACACTTCGAAGTGATAATGCGAAAGAGTTTGTGTCTGCACCTTTTCAGTCTTATATGCTTGAAAATGGGATTTTGCATGAAACGTCGTGTGTTGATACACCCGCTCAAAATGGGGTTGCTGAACGTAAAAACCGACACCTCCTCGAGGTTGCTCGAGCATTATTCTTTCACATGCATGTTCCTAAAACCTTTTGGGTTGATGCTGTGTGCTTGTTTCTTAATTAATCGAATGCCCTTAGCCGTATTGGGTAATTCAATTCCATTTTCAACCCATTTTTCCTATACCACCTAAAATTTTTGGGTGCACTTGTTTTGTCCGGGATACTGACCTCATATCACTAAGTTGGATCCCAAGTCTCTCAAGTGTATTTTTCTTAGGTATTCGAGGGTGCAAAAGGGGTATCGGTGTTTCTCTCCCATCCTCGGTCGTTATGTTGTGTCTAGGGATGTTAGTTGTAATGAACACCTTTCATTTTTTCATACCCGAGAGCCTCCATCTCCAGAGGAAGACGGTTTTTTGGTATATTCTGTTACTCTCTCACTAGGCCTCCTTCCCCTCCACCTCAGAGACCTCGGCCACCCATTACACAGACATATACTCGACGTTCTCAATCACATCACAAGGTCATCATGGACTCTGATTCACGTCCTTTGCCTATTGCTCCGGTGGAAGAGCCTGTGCACAGTCCAACCTCCACACATGTCCCCGAACCAAATTGCCTTGATGACCTTGTTGTGCTTCGCAAAGGTAAAAGATCTTGCACATACCCTATTGCTTTTGTTGTGTCTTATGACAACCTGTCTGCTTCTTCAAGTTTTTTTATTGCCAAGCTCGACTCTATCCTTATTCTTACATCTGTTGGCACGTTTTGGCTTATTTTGGATGGCATGCTGCTATGATTGGGGAAATGAATGATCTTGATCATGGCACATGATCTTTAACGGACTTACCTGTTGGCAAAAAGGTAATTGGATGTAAGTGGGTCTTCACTGTTAAAGTTAATACTGATGGCTTTTTGGCACGTCTTAAAGCTCGGCTTGTAGCTAAAGGCTATGCTCAGACGTATGGTACCGATTACTTTTTGAGACTTTCTCTCCCGTGGCCAAACTTACTTCTGTTCGGTTGCTCATTTCTCTTGCTGCCTCTTCTGGCCTCTGCACCAACTTGACATTAAGAATGCGTTTCTCCATAGCTTTCTTCAAGAAGAGGTTTATATGGAGCAACCACCTGGTTTTGTTGCTCAGGGGGAGTATGTGAAGGTATGCCGTCTTCATAAGTCTATATATGGGTTAAAGCAAAGTCCTCGAGCTTGGTTCGACAGATTTAACCAGATTGTTTTGAAATATGGGTTGGTGAGATGTAAACCCGATCACTCGGTATTTTATAAGCGATCAAGTCTTGGAATCATTTTGTTGGTGTTGTTGGTGGTGTATGTCGATGATATTGTTATTATAGAGAATGATAATGATGGGATTTCAAACCTAAAATACTTCCTCCATGAGAATTTTCAAACAAAGGACTTGGGACACTTCAAATACTTTCTGGGAGTAGAGATAATGAGAAGTAAGAGAAGGATTTTCCTTTGTCAAAGGAAGTATGTGCTAGATCTTCTTAAAGAAACTAGAAAAGTTTGGGCAAAACCATGCAGCACTCCGATGACACCAAACTTGCAGTTGAGAAAGGATGATGGTGAGCCATTTCATGATCCAGAACGATATCGAAGACTTGTAGGGAAGCTAAATTATCTACCGTAATACGCCCTGACATATCATTTGCAGTTGGTGTAGCAAGTCGATTTATGTCTTCTCCGACCATTAGTCATTGGGCACTTCTTGAGCAAATTTTTTGCTACTTGAAGGGGGCTGCTAGACGGGGATTGTTCTATGGGCGTCAGAGTTATCAAAAGGCTAGAGCAGTTGAAGCCTATTGTGATGCCGACTACGCAGGTTGCAAAGATGATAGAAGATCGACTTCTGAATACTATATATTTGTGGGAGGCAATATAGTTTCTTGGAGAAGCAAGAAGCAAAATGTTGTTTCTCGTTCAGTTGCTGAAGCAGATTATAGGTCGATGACTGATTCAGTATGTGAAGTTGTTTGGATACATCAATTTCTAAAGGAGCTTGGATTAGAATTTGCTCTCCCAGCAACACTTTGGTGTGACAACCAAGCAGCAAACCACATTGCATCAAATCATGTATTTCATGAACGGACCAAACACATAGAGATAGATTGCCACTTTGTTCGTGATAGGGTCGAAGAAGGTTTTGTCACTACAAGATATGTCAAGTCTGAACATCAATTGGGGGACATATTTACTAAAGCAGTAAATGGTGTAAGAATGAAAAATATTTGTAACAAGTTGGGCATAATCGACATATATGCTGCAGCTTGAGGGGGAGTGTTAATGTAAATATGATATAGATTTGATTGTATCAATTAGATGATTTGGTGAATCCCGTAGATTAGGTCATTTGATTTCTTTCATTTCATCTTTTTTGGCTTGTATATATACTTCGTAATCTTGGGTGTTTGTTTCTAGTTTGTAATTTCTCTTGTTTGGATAGGCCTATCTTTGGTCATTTAGGGGAGCCTATGTGCACCCCCATTGTTATTTCCTTTCCTAGTTTAGACTAGGGGAGGAAGATGACTTGTAGCCCTTTGGTTACCCGATTATGTACAGTTGAGCTTGGTTATAATATTTGATGTTTGACAAAAAAAAAAAATATACCTTGTAATCTTCATAGTGAAATATCAATTGAAGCTTATAGCATTACATTTCATAATCTGGGTGGCATTTTTGTGATAGTGATGTTGTCCATTTGTCCAAACTTCTAAATTTGATGGCAAAGTTCGTGTTTCTTATAATTAAAATATTTCCTTTTGGTTAATTCGTCTTATCAGTCGCTGGATTGTTCAAAATCTGATCATCCTTTATCTAATTCCATTCAAGTTCTGGTAGAGATCTAGAATCTTGTAGTAACCAATCCTGGCCACCAAATGTGTGTTAGTTCCTTTATTTTCTTCTTTTTTCCTTTCTTTCCCTTTTTTTCTTTTGTTTTGTATGCATATGAGTTTCCTTACATTTCTTTATGTTTGGAATTAAGAACATCATCAGTTACATCTTTCTGATGGTCAATATGCTTTCTTCCTCTAAATTGCTTTTCTCTACCCGAACTTTTGGCAAACTAGGTCAGGATTTTTACTTTGTCTTGTTATTCTGTTTAGGTACTGCTATCTTTTGGATGATTTGACCCCAGATTTGTTGGAAACTAAATGCTCCAATTTTGAGGAACTAAGAGACTATCTTCACCTTCGCGGATGTGAAGCATACTTGCAGAAACGGGTATATGTCAGATCTAAACACGATTCTCAGGATTCCGTACTATCAATCAGTTACTAGACAGTTGTATGTTGTTTGATAAGCTAATAGCTGTGTTAGCAGATTTTAATTTTAATCAATCGAGCTTGTTGATTTCGTAAATGCTGAATGCTGATGGAGAAATAATCTCTCTCTCTCTCTCACTCTGTTTGTGTGTGTGTGTCATTGAATATTTTCCCCTGTCAGGAAATTGTGGAGAAGGAGGCTCCAGGCTTGATGAAAGAGGCAGAAAAGTTCCTGACATTGACCAATATTGATCGTTTATGGAAGGAGCACCTGCAAGCGCTAAAATTTGTTCAGCAAGCTGTGGGTTTACGAGGATATGCACAGAGGGATCCACTCATTGAATACAAACTTGAGGGATACAATCTCTTTGTGGATATGATGGCACGAATAAGAAGAAACGTGATATATTCTATTTACCAGGTATTTTTGGGGTCTTGTATTCATTCTGTCTTAAGTCTTAACAAATGAAATTGTGCAATTCATCTTCAAGTGGTGTTGCATTAACAGTCATTTGAGCATTCCATAAACAGGTTGCTAGCACATCTAACCATATGACATCGTTTTTTGTCAGTTCCAACCTGTAATGGTGAAGGATCAAAGAAATGTAGCGCGTGGGAAAGAAGTTAAGCTTGATGCCAACGGAAAGGAAAGCGATTATAAAAATCCCAAGACAATAGCTGCTGCCACGCTGCCTTCATCTGCTGTTGGCAGCAGGCAAGCAACCGAGAAGTAATATATTGGACCTCTGCTTTACCCTTTTCATCAGCTGCTGGGAAACAGGCTAGAGCAAGTAAAACCATATAGTACACAATGTGCAAGGTGTAAGATGTGTTGTAAAATGATAGATTGTGGTGTAATAATGGAAAGGAATTTGAGACCTAAATCATACAATTCATTTTTGTATTTCTGTATTTTTGTATTCAATTTATTTCTGTATTTCTTTCAATGCGGTTTTGCTTGGAGCCTTGGACAATGAATTGTGCACTCCAGTTTAGGTGTATAATGCATGTTCACCATTGTAGGTAATATTCCATCCTTGCTGCCTTGCTGTTTAAACTGTTATGGTAGATGTGAAGGAATCGTGGAAATGTAAGAGAAACATGAAAAGATGGACGAATAAGAAAAATCAAGTATTTTTATATTTTCATTTACTTTCGGTGATGACAGTAGGGCACAAACACAAACATTGAGGCTGCGAGGTACATATTCGTACATCAATGTGGGAGATAATTAGTTAAGCATTGGGGATGGATCTTACAAATAAATACTAAAAAATCAATCTCAAAGGCTGAGAATTAAAAAAACTGCATGGGATTGTTATCTTGGAGAAGCCTGAAAGCCCTCATCCTTTAAGACTGAACACAAGACCTGCTTTGAAATGTAAGTATCGAGTTCTGTGGAGACTTGAGTCAGCTTCAAATCAAAGTCATTTCTGTACCTGCTGTGTTTTGGTGATGGCACAGCAGTACCATAGTGCTGCTGAAGTGCTGGAGAACAGGAAAGTCTTCTTCTTGGACTTGAATTCGTCAAGTGTCTTGGCGAATTTAGAAGCATCATGCCTTTAGTTACGGCAGGCGTCAAATCTAACCTTTTATTAGCCGCCACCAAATTTTTATCTAATTTCATAAGTGGACCTCTTCTTGTTTCCAGTGGCAGGGGCTTCAACGGTTCACTACTGCTTTCTTTATGTATAATGGAAAGCTTTTCCCTTGCCTTGTCAGCAGCGAGAAGAGCTTTCTCTCGGCTCAGTTTTACCAGTTTCCATGGATCAATGCTCGCACGGCTGATATCACTTTGCTTTTTCTTGTTCAAGATAGATGTTGATGAGTCGGCAGATTCTCCATCAATCCTTATGGCCAATTTTTGAGGGTTCTGAATCTGGTAAATAAGTTTTATTTAAGAGAAATGTACTGATGAATTGCATATTTAACTGGATAAAGATAAACTGTGTACCTGCTGCTGCATGTTCCCATCTTTGCACATAATTCGCGATAAAAATGCGGCATGCTTTTGAGATGAATCCAAGTCACTGGTATAGTTATTGTCGGCGTCGTCATCATCATCATCGGAAGAAGAAGAAAAGCCTGAAGAGTCTTCAAGCGACGATCCCATAGACAGACTCTCTTCTCTCATTGCTAAGATGTATTCATAGGTTGAGATTCCCTGAGAACATTTGATGTCCCAACACAGTCATTCAAAAGCTTCATTCATACCAGAATTCTAGCTTAACACATATCTAGAACATTGTTTACATGTGTAAATGTCCAGAGGTAAGAGAGCATATGATTAGTAAAAGATACCTACACACACCAATCCTTCACCTAGTCTATAGCAGCCGTACCTTTCTGATTAGAAGTATATGGAAGAACAACAATTGTCCCAGTGCAGCTGTTCCGTAAGTAGTCAGCAAAACCAATACAACCTGTATTATATATTAAATTTGTTTTGGGAAGGG